GGTCGTCTTTCCTGCAACGGCAGTTTAAACTGTATTTCCTTTCTCCTCCTGTCATATGAATTGATCGCTTTAAACTCCGCACACGGAGCTCTGATTGGTCAGCAGGCAGTGCTTTCACTGAGTTGATCTCTTAGCCTTCCACCTAACCTGCTCCGGAGCAGGTTTGCCGCTCAGCATAAGTTACCATGGAAATCTAGCCTGCTAAAAAGAGAACCAGCGTCGTAGGACCGGAAAGCCCGAGATTTTCCTGAATTTAGCTGGCTAAGCGAAAATCCAGCTTCGTAGTACAGGCCTCTGGGGTCTCCAACCTTTCTTCACCTGAGAGCTACATTTATTGACATAGTAGTCATAGGTTGAATTAAGCTACTTTTGTAAACATGTGAAATTGCAATCCCCAAAGCTTATCAAAAATCAATACTTCTCATTAAGGTCAAAGACAACGACAATTTCTCACATTATTATGGCCCACATACAGTAAGTACATCACTGAAAATTCACATAAATGTCCAAGAGAAAAATAAAATGTTATAAGACTTGACTTATGTTTATTTTACATACAAATCAAAGAATGTATGAACAATATTCTTATAAAAATAGTGCATACCCAAAAGGTTTAGACCAGGGGTCTCCAACCTTTCTTCACCTGAGAGCTACATTTATTAAGCTACTTTTGTAAACGTGTGAAATTGCAATACCCAAAGCGTATAAAAATAAAATGTGTGTGAGTGTGTGCAGTCACCTGAGCTGCTGTGCAGATACAGCTGTGCTCAACATTCATCAGGGATTGGTCGCTCTCTCTTTGGATGTGTTATGAACAATTTAGTGCTAACCTCAGCTTTATGTCATTACATTTGTGCTGGGTAAGGGCACAGTACATTTGAGTTTGTTTCCTTCACTTAGATTTATGTCAGTATTTTATATCCTAACTTCTTTCTAAAGAGAAATAGGAATAAAATAAATGGTGTGCCTTGCTCCAGCTTGACAATGACACATTTATTTTAGATAACACAGGTAACGATTCCATTTAGCATCATTTTGTTTAAAGAATGCATGGCAGAATCAGACTTAGCATACAAGTAGTCATACTTGTCATCTACCACTGTTTTAGTTCAGTGTTTTATCATAGTGACATTAGCTAGTTTGCAGTGGATCACTGAAAAAATAAAATGTAATAAGACATGACTTTTGAGTTATGTTTATTTTACATACAAATCAAAGAATCAGAAGTATGGACAATATTTGTACTGTATATTATATAATAGAGTATTTAAAAAATAATGTATACAAAGTATTCACAAAAAGGTGTGGAGAACATACGGTATATACTATAACTAAGTGTATTTAAAAAAGAATGTATACAAGTATTCACAAAAAAGTGTGGAGAACATACTGTATATATTATATAACTAAGTGTATTTAAAAATTATGTACACAAAAGGGGCATGAACAATGGAGATACAAAAATAATGTCATTGTTTGCTGTTGGCCTCCATCACCTTCACCATCCTGTCTAACAAGCCAAGCATGTGGCTGTCATGCTCGGCCTTTGCGATTCTGGCGAGTCCGTCGATCCGGCTCTGCTCGATTCTGCTCTGCTCTGTGACGTTGAAGATCCGTAGGAACTCAGCATTGCCGTTCTGCACCTCCTGAAGCATCGCCCGGCTATGCTCCAGTAGCTCTTCGTCCCTGGCTTCACTCCTCTCCATTAACGGGACAAGGCCAGATGACGAATCCCGCTTCCTTTTAACTACAAAGGGAAAAATAATAATGAGGTCAACACCGTGTTCATGGCATTCTATGAGGTGTAAATTATATACTGTGTAATGAAATGTTTTATTGTTATTATGGCTGCAGTTGCATAACTTCAACAACTACTACAATGACAATGCCATGATAAATGGCAACAGGGAACAGTATTACCATTATGAACACTGTAAACCTTACCCTGTTTGTTACGGCCCACTGGCTGGGTTAGGGTCACCAGAGATTCCTGGGAAGAGCTGCTTGTTGTGGCAAGAGACCCAAGCATGTGCACGGGCGAGCTACACGCCGAAGGTGGTGGTGGTTCCGACTCACTGCACTCCAAACGAGATATGCCTGTAAACACAATATAAACACAATGAACAAAAGTAGCCCTTCAACAAATCATACATCGTTAGTGAGAAGAAAGAAGATACATTGGAGGCGTTCGCTGTCTTTGCCATGGGGATACCTTTGTTTATTATTGTTAGCATTAGCATGCTAGCGCATGGGTGCCCACCCGGTAGCTGTAGTAGGTAAACTTTAGCTATTATTGCCAGGTCTGTCTATAGCTACATGGTTTAGTTTATGTTGTAAAACAAAAAGGCACAAATAACACAAATCAGTAATGCATAACTCACCAGCATTAAATGACTCGCCCTCCAACCCAATTGACGAGAGATAGATAGATAGATAGATCGTACTTTATTGATCCCAAATTGGGAAATTGTTTTTGTTACAGCAGCATAAAAGGCATTTTACAATAAAACAAAATATACAAGAATAGAAATAAAATAAAATAAAATATAAAATAAAATATAAAATATACATGTCAAAATACAAAATAGAAAATATACATACAGATATTATATATATATATATATACAAATATATATATATTCAAAATATATGGAATTATGGAGTATTAAATATGAAACAGATTATGTGTGAGTAAAATGTACAAGGTGGTTTAATTTCTAGAGAAACTATGGAGCAGAGAGTTCTCTTCCAGCCAGAGGTGATTTATTGTACAGTGTTATTGCAGTGGGCAGGAATGTTTTCCAGTATCTGTCCTTGTGGCAGGGGAGCTGCAGCAGTCTGTTGGAGAAGGAGCTGCAGCAGTCTGTTGGAGAAGGAGCTCCTCTGACTGTCCAGCTGCAGGTGGAGAGGATGGCTGGGGTTATCCATAATGGACAACAGCCTGTTCAGTGTCCTCCTCTCCACCACAGCTTCAAAGGGGTCCAGCTTGATGCCGATGACTGACCCAGCTTTCCTGATCAGTTTATTGATCCTGCTGGTGTCACCGGCTCTGATGCTGCCCCCCCAGCAGACTGCAGCAAAGAAGAGTGCACTAGCCACCACAGACTGATAGAAGATCTCCAGCATCTTACTGCATACGTTGAAGGATCTCAGCTTCCTCAGAAAATAGAGTCGGCTCATCCCCTTCTTGTACACAGCGTCAGTGTTGATCCTCCAGTTCAGCCCATTGTCTAAGTGCACTCCCAGGTACTTGTAGACCTCCACAACTGCCACATCCTCTCCCAGAATGCACAGGGGCAGAGGAGGAGATGTCCTCTTCCTCCTGAAATCAATGACCATCTCTCTGGTCTTGGCCACATTCAAAAGCAGATGATTTCTTCCAGTCCACTCAACAAAATCACCCACCAGCGCTCTGTACTCCTCCTCCCGTCCATCCCTTATACACCCTACCACTGCAGAGTCATCCGAAAACTTCTGCAGATGGCATGACTCTGAGTTGTATAGAAAGTCAGAGGTGTATAAGGTGAACAGGAAAGGAGACAGCACAGTCCCCTGTGGGGCTCCAATACTACCAACCACCACATCAGACAGCACACTGCCCAGCCGGACGTACTGTGGTCTGTCCGTGAGGTAGTTAGTAATCCAGGAGATGGTGGACGAGTTTACCCTCATAGCCTGCAGCTTGTCACTCAGTAGCCGAGGCTGGATCGTGTTGAATGCACTGGAGAAATCAAAAAAGGTGATTCTCACAGTGCAACCCGATCCATTCAGGTATGAGTGAGCACGCTGCAGCAGGTAAATAATGGCATCGTCCACCCCCAGGTGAGGCTGGTAGGCAAATTGCAGAGGGTCAAGGAATGATCTCACCTGCGGTCTGAGATGGGCCAAGACCAGTCTCTCAAGCACCTTCATCACATGAGATGTGAGTGCTACAGGGCGATAGTCATTGAGCCCAGAAGGAGTTGTCTTTTTAGGGACCGGAACAACGCATGATGTCTTCCACAGCACCGGGATGGTCTCCAGGTGCAGGCTCAGGTTGAATATATACTGGAGAACAGGAGCCAGCTGGCGTGCACAGGTCCTCAGGACCCTGGGGCTGATACCATCAGGGCCAGCAGCCTTGCCTTGGTGGAGTTTTTTCCATCTGACTCTGGACCTGTCCTGTGCTCACAGTGAAGCGGGGGGGGGGGGGCTTGATGGCCGGGGGGATAGAGGGGGGGGGGGGGTCTGAGGCAAGATGAGCAGAGAGGGGGGGGGGGGTCAGCGGCAATGTGAGCAGAGGGGGGGTGCAGAAGCCAGGCTGGGTGGTGGAGGAGAGGTGTGAAGTGTAGGTGGTGAGCAGAGGGGGGATGTTGACGCCAGGCTGAGAGGAGGAGGTGAGGTGAGAAGAGGAAGTGGAGGAGACAGCAGCGGGCGGAGAGCTAAACCTATTGAAGAAGGTGTTCAGCTCGTTGGCCCTCTCCAGGGTGCCCACAGTCAGTCTGTCTCTCCCTTTGAAGACAAAGCGAATTCACGGTGCATCCCACACCACTCGTCGGTCTGTCTCCGAGGACCGAGTTTAGCAAGTCAAAATGTGGACTTGTTTTCGTACGACCGCTGCCACTCCGTCCGAGCTCTTTCTTTTGGTCCCGATAATCCTTTTTGTGTTTTGAGGTCTTCCATCGTTGTGTACAAACTGGATAAAATGCAGGCATTTTGTTGTTGTTCAGGAGGTTGACCCCGCCCATGCCCCTGCCCCCGCCTCCGCCTCGACGGACGTAAGAGAGACGTAAGCGACGCCGCGTCATAGCTCCAAAGCTCTTGCCTCTGGACCGACAACTTTTTGGAGCTGGAAGTGAACCGCATTCCGGAGCTATGACGCGCCGCCGCTGCGGTGTGAACAGGAAAAACCGGCGCTTTTCAGGCTCTAGCTCCCAGCAGGAGCTGGAAAAGCGCCGGTGTGAAAGGGGCATGATGCCCCTTTCACACCGGCGTGCCATTTCATCTTTTCTTTCTTTCAGACATCGGAGAGAAAATGGACAAAATCTCAGGTAGGAAATGTCTAGGACGATGATTGGCCGATTTCCCACTGGTACACAGGGAAATGTTTAAAAAAACGTTGTGTTATCTGTTAGAAAAATGTCTTGAGCTTCAATATCAGGATCCATGTATTTATTATCCTCTCAAGAATGGAGGTAGTCAAAACAAAAAAAGAGAATTTGTTGGTATTTTTGTCAAAATCTCAAAATTCTGACATTTTCAAAATTCTGACTTTTTTCTCAAAATTCTGACTTTTTCTCAAAATTCTGACTTTTTCTCAAAATCTCAAAATTATGACTTTTTCTCAAAAATCTCAAAATTATGACTTTTCTCAAAATCTCAAAATATGACTTTTTCTCAAATAATAATCACTGGTCACCGGCTTGAGCTTCAATCTCAGGATACATGTGTTTGTGATCCTCTCAAGAATGGAAGTAGTCATCACATACAGAGCATCACCTAGTTCCTGAACAGGGGGGGGGGGGGTGCGAGGTGGAGCCTCGCAGTGGCGAAACCGTGCCGCGCCACACTAATTGCGCCAGTCTGCGTGATCGGCCTGTAGGGAGGCACGGCCCTGATCTCACGTATCTACTATAATGCATAGCTGATTGTGTTTTATATATAAAATATGAATCTGCAAGGAATTTAAAAACAAGTATTATCTGATACATGTAATTGAAGCAACACAATGTTTGCCCCTGAGATGTAATGCACAGGAAGTAAAGGCTGATCAAATGGAAATATTTAAGTTGTAGGAGTTTACGAGCAGACTTTGAATGCAGCATTAGGGGGGGTGCGTCCTTCTAGGTTGGCATTGAAACATGATACTAATTCTTGCAGCACTTAGTTGCAATCTGCATTTTCACCACTGGATGTCACTAAAGCTGGTCCTTTAAGTCAGTGGTTCCCAACCCTAGAGGTGCTTGAGGGTATTGCAGGGGATAGGAAGAAAGATTAGGGGTGCAATATACAGTATTTCCTCACAACAACAAAAACATTAAAATCATTCATAAGCTTTTCTTAAGAAGCTGCAAATCAATTTGTATCTTGACGCTGAACTGCAGATCAACAATTGATAAAACTAAACTAATGAATGTTGCTCACTCTAGGATCAAATTCTAAACGTGCCGTACAGTTATTTGACTATTATATGATGCTAATGATTAGCTGGTTTAAAAACCCCAACAAAAAGCAATGTGGGTAGGTGTGTTGAAATGTAGTGTGGTGACTATTGCCACTCAATATCACAGAGGGAATGGCTGAACTGGGTAAACTAGTTGGACGCGTGTGATCTCCATTGCTTTCAATACCATTTATTTTCCAACAAACACGGTCAAAAAACTGTTTGCTCTTCCCATTCCCAGATCACCCACCTGTACCAGGGACATCAATTATATCCTGTGGCCCCATTACGCCATCTAGTGTTCAACATATAACAAATAACATATGTTTATGTTTATGCTTAAGGGAGGCGTGTGGCGCAGAGGGTTGAACGTTGGTGCGGTTTGTGCAGTTGTTGCGTGATGTTGTGCGGTTGGTGCAAGAAGTTGTGGCCCTGGACAGTTCACCCCAGATTGGCTACAGTATTGAGTAAGTAAGTCGCTTTGGATAAAAGTGTCTAACAAGTAACATGTAATCTATGTTTATTTAGGATCCCCATTAGCTTTTGCTCTTGACAAAAGCTACTCTTCCTGGGGTCCGACACTTAAAACAATACAACAATACTACTCAACACAACAACATTCAAGACATAAGTCCTGACATCATTAACAACATCACACACATCATGAACAATCTCATCCACTTTCAACATCAAACTCAGCCAAGGATGAGTGCACAAGACACCCACCAGTACAAAGCATGAAATACAAATTAAATTAGGGTTCACAGTTCACAAGGGTACATGCTCATTAGTAGATGGCACTTCAATCTCTTCTTGAAAGAGGCTCTGGACTCTATGTCAGCAAGGTAGTTTGGCAATGAGTTCCATTGTAGCTCTCTAAGTCACAGAAGAGTTCAGAAGATGTGTCCTGGGTTTAGGTGCCAGTAGATGGCCTGATGTAGCTTGTCTAGTCTGATGGTCATGCTCGTCTCTTGTGTAAACTATTTGATCATAATTGGACATTTTCCAATTTTTCATTTCTCAACCAGAAGCCGTGATAGATTTCTATGCATAACTCCAATATGAGTGTAATGGCTGCAACACGTAGTATAGATTCAAGATTCAAGGGTTTTATTATGCACAGCAGCTACAGTGTAGCTATGGCAATGCAAAGCTTAGGTTCCTCCAAGAATGCCACATATTATATATAGGACATAAGACAACATTTTTTATAATAATACAAAAATAAAAATAGTGCAAATGTAACAGAGTACGATCAATTTGAATAAAATAGTGCAGGTGAAAGAAAAGATTGTAAGGTTAAATAGTGTACAGTGAAATAAAATAATATAACTACTAACATATAGTTAATACCTGTGGGTTTCATGAAATGACACGTTAACTTCTATTTGTTCTTGAAATGACTCATATTCTTCATTATATGATATTTTAAGATTGAGGTACTATAGTTTTACTAACGCTGGTGGTGGCCATCATTTGTATCTGAAACAATTATGAACATGTGACTCCTAGCAAGATGCCAACCAGGCTTTAAAAAATATATATATTGAAAATGACTAAATGGACAAATGGCCAAAGCTGTAAAAAAACAGATTGTAAAAAAGTGTATTTTATTTCCTTTGTAATAAGAAAAAACCCATGTGATCTAAATCATGTTGTGCTTGCTGTTGATATGAGATGACTGATTGATCTTTTCTTTCTTTCAGATTGGATGAATATTGGAAGAATTGTTGTTCTTGTTGTCACAATCATTGTGTCCGTGGTAGCGTCGGTGTCGCGTACACAGAAGTAAGAAGACCTCAGGGGTTTATTATTCCAATAAATGCATTTTGAAGGGACTAAAGTGCATGTGCAATGCATGTGCAATCAACGGGAAATTATGCTATTAAACTATTAACATAGATGCTTTTGAGCTGAAGCTTTGGATCACTGATGTTTTATCTAAGGTGCATTAGAGAAGAATAGATGGAAGAATAACAAACCTGCTTTAAGTAAATGACACTTACAAATTCAAATGAAATTCAAGTTAAACTTATAAGACAAACCTGCCATTCGTTGAAAAGTCTTTAAAGTCTACAGTATTATTGATAAAGTTCCTCCTGGCACTGAAGAAATCTTTTAACAGAGATTGTAATGTAGGTGAATGGGTACAAACGTGTTAAATGAGAATGTTAATTCAGTGTGCTTTTGAGATATACAGATTTGTTAACATAATGTTTAAATGTGTGCAGTAGAGAAGTGTGTGATCAAATCTTATCAAGTTTAACATATCCTAAAATATCTGTAAAACCCTGCTGCTGCTGCTTTGTGCTCATTAAAACATCAACATAATAAATACAAATCAATCAATCACAGTGTCTGTGTACATGTGTCTCATTGTGGATGAACATGTTTCCAGGGCCGTCCCTGGCCAACATGAGGCCCCACGCAAAGATATATGATGAGGCCCTCTGTTTCGCGGGCGTCGACGGGGACGGGGACGGACGGGGACGGGGGTGCTAGTGGAGCCTGGCAGTGGCGAAACCGTGCCGCGCCACACTAATTGCGCCAGTCTGCGTGATCGGCCTGTAGGGAGGCACGGCCCTGATCTCACGTATCTACTATAATGCATAGCTGATTGTGTTTTATATATAAAATATGAATCTGCAAGGAATTTAAAAACGAGTATTATCTGATACATGTAATTGAAGCAACACAATGTTTGCCCTTGAGATGTAATGCACAGGAAGTAAAGGCTGATCAAATGGAAATATTTAAGTTGTAGGAGTTTACGAGCAGACTTTGAATGCAGCATTAGGGGGGGCGTGTCCTCCTGACAGCCTGCCTCTGAGAGCTGATAGGCTGCATCAGGGGAGTGGGATATAAGTAGACATTTAATACAAATAATGAAAAGCTTAAAATGAAATCAAGTTTGAGGGTCAAGCTGTAAGACTGAGTAGGTTTAAATGTAAAAGGACAAATAATTAAAGTTGCATTTTTATATATTTATGTATTATTACATTAAACACGATTTAATTCCTGTACATTATTTAATTGTACTTTCTGTGTTTAGCTCATCTTATTCTATTTTACATGTATATAGTTGACCTTTGATTATAATGATTGATCTTTAAAGTGTTCTCAAAGCTGGTCAAGGTGCAGCTAGTTTGAATGACTTTGTATACTGCAGGGTAGCTTGTGAATTTACTCCAGGTGGAACTAAAGTCTGATTTAACACTTGATTAGATTTCACATCATTCATCCAGATCTGTAAAGTAACTAAAAGTATTAAATACATGTAGTGGAGTACAAGTACAAAGTAGCATAAAGGGAAATATTCAAGTACAAGTATCTCAAAGTTGTACTTAAGTACTGTACTTTAGTACATCTACTAGTTACTTCCCTCTTCTGCTACTTTGTACTTTTACTCCACTACATGTATTTAATACCTTTAGTTACTTTACAGATGTGGATGAATGATGTGAAATATAATCAAGTGTTAAATCAGACTTTAGTTCCACCTGGAGTAAATTCACAAGCTACCCTGCAGTATACAAAGTCATTCAAACTAGCTGCACCTTGACCAGCTTTGATAGCACCTTATCTCTGAGTACTTCTACTTTTACTCAAGTACAATATCTGAGTATTTCTACTTGAACTCAATATCTGAGTACTTCTTTAACTCAAGATCTGAGTACTTCTACTTTTACTCAAGTACAAGATCTGAGTACTTCTACTCTAACTCAAATACAAGATGTGACTACTTCTACTTTTACTCAAGAACAAGATCTAGGAAACCCTGCAGAAAGCAGCTTAACACAGAGTAGAGGGAACATTACAGTGTGGTATTTCACAAAATTCAACCTATAAACACACAGATCAGATGGACACAGACTATAATATTTGTAATTGTCCATAAATACCAAACAGATGAAAGTCTATAATCACTTTGGGAGTAGGCCTACTTCTACTTTAACTCAAGTACAAGACCTGAGTACTTCCCACCTCTGTCACATGTTATGAGAGGAGACACAGTGTCTCCTCTTCCTGCAGCGGTCACCAGAGAGCACGTAGCCGCAGAAAGGGAAAGTGAAAGAGCAGAGCAACATGCAAGAGCCAGGCCAGATAAACTATCAGTCTGTTCAGTAAGTACTCTTCTTTTAAGGCTGCTGCATATCTACCATGAAACTGGGTAACTCTGGAGATTATACAATTCTAAGGTAATTTTAATTAAGTCTCATGGACCAACGCACGCTTTTTTAAGAGACAGAGAAGAGTGTTTGTGACGCATGGTTGAAGTGTGTGTACTAAAGGTTTCCATTTATCTTCCTCAGAAACATGGACTACCAGGGACAGACAAAGGGTAAGAAGTGTCTTTAGAAATGAACTACATGTACACATTTACTCATCATTTTTGCAACTTTGTACACATTTCAGAGGTGGCCTATTTTTTTACGACATTTGTAATGACTTTACAGATTACAATTCGTCCTTCCTGTCTAAAGAAAAGCATGTGTCTGACTTTACATGTCAATTTATCCGCGTCAAATGTAAGGATTAGCAGGATATACAGCCTGTGTTATATAACAGTAACACCCTAAGAGGGGCCATTTTACTGCACGATGAATACTTTCACTTTCAAAATTCAAAGCTCCGTTGGTGCTAATACTCACACACAGCTTTAAATATACGACTTTAATTTAGTTTCAGGGTGTGGGCACTTTAACTTGAAGGACCTATGTGTAGAACAGGGCGGAATTATTGTCAGAAATGGAATATAATATTTACACAATCACATGATTATGAAGAAGGTTGTGCTTTTATCTTGCTGGACTAAACTTATAACCATCATAACGTTGTGCTTGCTACGAAGCTTCTCCCCAATATTCATAATTCCAATGGAAACCCTCAATTGGCTTTTTTTTAGGCTTTTTTCTTCTAGGTTGGCATCGAAACATGATACTAATTCTTGCAGATCATAGTTGTAATCTGCATTTTCACCACTAGATGTCACTAAAGCTAAACACTGGTCCTTTATGTCAGTGGTTCCCAACCAGGTGCTTGAGGGTATTGCAGGGGATAGGAAGAAAGATTAGGGATTGAAATATACAGTATTTCCACACAAAAAAACATTTTAAAATCAATTTTCATAAGCCTGGTGTCCCGCCCCCAGAACTATCAAAGCTTATGAAACACAAGCAAGTGTCAAGTGTCTCAATAAAAGCTCTTAACATAGATGTTGAAACTGCTAGAAGTGAGTCTTAATATTATTATTTTTCACTCACAATAAGTGTAAATGTCAAGTTTAAATGCATTTGTATTAAGGGTGAGGTATACAAGTGATTTTCATCTAAGGAGCAGTTGGGTTAAATACAATAACAAAACGTTTAACATTACATTTTTAAATTCTTTATTTCTACCCTTTTAATTTCTCTTATGTGCAACGCCTTGTCTTTTATGTTGCTGCCACGCAAACATCTCCCAAATTGGGATCAAGAGAGTACATCTTATCTTATTTAATCACAGATAACAGTGATTCTTATAGAATAGTGACCAGCACAAGGGGAACACGAGACAAAAAAGTTCGCTTTAAGTGAACAAAATAAGTACTTTTCCACCATGGTGTTCTTTCAAGACTGCAATATTCCAGTATTATAGACACTACACTACATTTAGTCATTAAAATAAAGCTTCTTCACTAATATTTCTGATACTTTTTTAATGGTTTAATGGATAAAATGCAGTGAGATAGGAGTTGGTTGTTGTGATAAACCAACATACACCTTTACAACTGGATCTCTGGTCGTTAATAATGACAGAGAGGTCAAGAACAAAAGCAAGCATATTGGTCCGTTATATTATGGGAAGATGTGAAAACTTCACTTCTGTATTTTTGCAATGGAGTCTGGTGGCTTTTGAAACTTTAAGTCACACTTTTGGACACGGTTCTTCTGCATCTGGGTTTGTGGTATGAATCTAAACAAAATTACTCAAAACAAATCTTCTCTGTGTTTAGTGCTGGGGAGGAAATTCCATGTCTCCGTGGCAGGATGTACCAACGGTGCTCATCAGACCTATGTTAATGACCTCAAAGGGATGGGTCAAATCGAGGTGATCTCTCCTGAACAAAGTGACTACTTGGTGCTTTTCTGTCCCATCGCGTCTCGAGTTGGAACAGACATCGGAGAGGCAATGGACAAAATCCCAGGTAGGAAATGTCTAGGACGATGATTGGCCGATTTCCCACTGGTTATTCAAAGGTACACAGGGAAATGTTAAAAAACGTTGTGTTATCTGTTAGAAAAATCTCACTCGTCACCGGCTTGAGCTTCAATATCAGGATCCATGTATTTATTATCCTCTCAGGAATGGAAGTAGTCAAAACAAAAAGAGAATTTGTTGGTATTTTTGTCAAAATTCTGACTTTTGGTCAAAATCTCAAAATTCTGACTTTTTCTCAAAAATCTCAAATTTTGACTTTTTTTCCAAAATTCTGACTTTTTCTCAAAATCTCAAAATTCTGACTTTTCTCAAAATGTTAATAATCACTGGTCACCGGCTTGAGCTTCAATCTCAGGATCCATGTATTTGTGATCCTCTCCAGAATGGAAGTAGTCATCACATACAGAGCATCAACTAGTTCCTGAACAGTGTCCTTCACATGCTGATATCCAAGAGAGGGAGTTACACAGTCACAAGATGGAGGAATATAAAGCTGTATTCAATGTTTAGTTCAGATTAGCTCCACGTCAGAAATGATCATGCTTGTCATATGTCTATCTCCATAGAGGCTGAATCATCATGTTAATCACATAGCTATCATATGCCTCAAACAGTCCTGATGCTCTTCTAGGTAATCATACATCCTGTCATGTTCACAGCTACAGTTGGGAAACCTTTGTTATCATGTGTACTCTGATATTGGAAGAGTACCTTCAGTATTTTCCCAACATTATCTCTGTGCTCACAGGTGGGAAACCAATCTTTCTGGTGGTGATGCATCACACCTACGACAAAGATCATTTTGTGCCTGAAAGCAGGAGACTCGTGGAAAACCCGAATGTCATCGTCACCGTAGACGTTCTGTTCCATCAGAGCAAAATGCTGATCTGCAACCGCAATGACACGGCCTGGTTTCAGGTCAAGGATGTTCTTGGAGTTTCCCCTGCACAGGTAATCCATATCACACACAATCAATGTGAAGAGAACTGATCATGTGACTTTAGAGGGTTAGTTTGGATGTTTAGAAGTGGGGTTGTATGAGGTGTTTATCTATAGGCATTGTATCAGTTACAGTAGATGGCGGAGCGCACCCCAAAAAAGGGAAACCCAACGGAAATAATGAAAGATAATTCTAAGTGTACGGTATATTTGGAATATCTTCAGTGCTTAACCTTGCCATAAGCTCTAACTATACCTTATAAATACCTCAATAAACCCCAACCAATAACATTCAAACTATCCCTTCAAGAGGTTAGGAATCATTGCTGTGGTTTACCTCTGAATGGATGAATTTCTTCTGAATGACACTCGTTTTTTTTCTTCTCTTTCAGGTCTTCAGCTGGCGACCTTGTAAGTATGGCTTTAATAATAACCTTCTATTTTCAGATGACAGTTTTCCAATATCTACATTAATAAGCCATTGCCATGTGAAAACCTTCTGTCTATAGTGGCTGTGAAGTGATATTTACCTAGTAGTACTCACGTGTAAAAAAGAAGAAGCTATTAGGAGGTTGAAACCGGTGTTTTTTAAAGTTAGAATCCATTTAGTAACATATTATATCATAATACCCAAAATATCCTAATTCGTATTTTCTTAAGAAGCTGCAAATCATTTTGTATCTTGACGCTGAACTGCAGATCAACAATTGATAAAACTAAACTAATGAATGTTGCTCACTCTAGGATCAAATTCTAAACGTGCCGTACAGTTATTTGACTATTATATGATGCTAACGATTAGCTGGTTTAAAAACCCCAACAAAAAGCAATGTGGGTAGGTGTGTTGAAACGTAGTGTGGTGACTATTGCCACTCAATATCACAGAGGGAATGGCTGAACTGGGTAAACTAGTTGGACGCGTGTGATCTCCATTGCTTTCAACACCATTTATTTTCCAACAAACACGGTCAAAAAACTGTTTGCTCTTCCCAATCCCAGATCACCCACCTGAACCAGGGACATCAATTATATCCTGTGGCCCCATTACGCCATCTAGTGTTCAAAATATAACAAATAACATATGTTTATGGTTATTTAGGATCCCCGTTAGCTTTTGCTCTTGAAGAAAGCTACTCTTCCTGGGGTCCGACACTTAAAACAATACAACAATAATACTCAACACAACAACATTCAAGACATAAGTCCTGACATCATTAACAACATCACACACATCATGAACAATCTCATCCACTTTCAACATCAAACTCAGCCAAGGATGAGTGCACAAGACACCCACCAGTACAAAGCATGACATTATATTAAATTAGGGTTCACAGTTCACAAGGGGTACATGCTCATTAGTAGATGGCACTCCAATCTCTTCTTGAAAGAGGCTCTGGACTCTATGTCAGCAAGGTAGTTTGGCAATGAGTTCCATTGTAGCTCTCTAAGTCACAGAAGAGTTCAGAAGATGTGTCCTGGGTTTAGGTGCCAGTAGATGGCCTGATGTAGCTTGTCTAGTCTGATGGTCATGCTCGTCTCTTGTGTAAACTATTTGATCATAATTGGACATTTTCCAATTTTTCATTTCTCAACCGGAAGCCATGATAGATTTCTATGCATAACTCCAATATGAGTGTAATGGCTGCAACACGTAGTATAGATTCAAGATTCAAGGGTTTTATTATCACGTGCACAGCAGCTACAGTGTAGTTATGGCAATGCAAAGCTTAGGTTCCTCCTAGGGTTTTATGAAATGACACGTTAACTTCTATTTGTTCTTGAAATGACTCATATTCTTCATTATATGATATTTTAAGATTGAGGTACTATAGTTTTACTTTTCCCTTCTGGCAACGCTGGTGGTGACCATCTTTTGTATCGGAAATGTAACTCCAAGCAAGATGCCAACCAGACTTTAAAAAATACATATATATATTGAAAATAACTGAATGGACAAATGGCCAAAGCTGTAAAAAAAGAGTATTTTATTTCCTTTGTAATAAGAAAAAACCCATGTGATCTAATTCATGTTGTGTTTGCTGTTGATGAGATGACTGATTGATCTTTTCTTTCTTTCAGTCTGGATGAAATACCGAAAGATGATTATTATTATAATAATTGTTTTTGCAGTTGTTGTAGTAATCATTGTGTCCGTGGAAGCGTCGGTGCCGCATACACAGAAGTAAGAAGACCTCAGGGGTTTATTATTCCAATAAATGCATTTTGAAGGGACTAAAGTGCATGTGCAATGCATGTGCAATCAACAGGAAATGAAGGATGCTATTAAACTATTAACATAGATGCTTTTGAGCTGAAGCTTTGGATCACTGATGTTTTATCTAAGGTGCATTAGAGAAGAATAGATGGAAGAATAACAAACCTGCTTTAAGTAAATGACACTTACAAATTCACACAAGATTCAAGTTAAACTTATAAGACAAACCTGCCATTCGTTGAAAAGTGTTTAAAGTCTACTCTCCAGTATTATTGATAAAGTTCCTCCTGTCCAAATTGACACGGCCTGGTTTCAGGTCAAGGATGTTCTTTTGGTTTCCCCTGGACCGGTAATCCATTTCACACACAATCAGTGTGAAGAGAACTGATCATGTGACTTTAAAGGGCTAGTTTGGATGTTTAGAAGTGGGGTTGTATGAGGTGTTTATCTATAGGCATTGTATCAGTTACAGTAGATGGCGGAGCGCACCCCAAAAAAGGGAAACCCAACGTAAATAATGAAAGATAATTCTAAGTGTACGGTATATTTGGAATATCTTCAGTGCTTAACCTTGCCATAAGCTCTAACTATACCTTATAAATACCTCAATAAACCCCAACCAATAACATTCAAACTATCCCTTCAAGAGGTTAGGAATCATTGCTGTGGTTTACCTCTGAATGGATGAATTTCTTCTGAATGACACTCGTTTTTTTTCTTCTCTTTCAGGCCATCAGCCAATATTGTAAGTATGGCTTTAATAATAACGTGCCGTACAGTTATTTGACTATTATATGATGCTTGTTCTACGACATTAAATACATCAGCAGTGACCCCACTGGTGATTTTTGAAGAGTTGACGTGTCTGAAAAACGATGGTTGTTAACAAGTGGCTGAATAGGACTACAGAAGTTGTGGAGGCCGTTTTACGTCATTACGCCGAACACGTGAACACTCCTCTAAGTTTGTTTGCCCTGTTCTGCTTGAAAGCAAGTACCTGCCTCCTGCAAACTGTTCAAACAAACGCTTCAACTTGTACCATTTTGAATCTGTATTTTTGAATATGGATCTTAAGTTGGCGTGACGTCGGCAAAATGCTAACTCACTTCTGGGTTTTAGGACTCGTCACTGCACCACTCTATTAGCTGGTTTAAAAACCCCAACAAAAAGCAATGTGGGTAGGTGTGTTGAACACGTAGTGTGGTGACTATTGCCACTCAATATCACAGAGGGAATGGCTGAACTGGGTAAACTAGTTGGACGCGTGTGATCTCCATTGCTTTCAATACCATTCATTTTCCAACAAACACGGTCAAAAAACTGTTTGCTCTTCCCAGTCCCAGATCACCCACCTGAACCAGGGACATCAATTATATCCTGTGGCCCCATTACGCCATCTAGTGTTCAAAATATAACAAATAACATATGTTTATTTTTAACGGAGGCGTGTGGTGCAGTGGGTTGTGCGTTGGTGCATGTCGTTGTGTCCCTGAGACACTTCACCCCAAATTGCTCCTGTGGGGATTGGCCACAGTATTGAGTAAGTAAGTCGCTTTGGATAAAAGTGTCTAACAAGTGACATGTAATCTATGTTTATTTAGGATCCCCGTTAGCTTTTGCTCTTGACAAAAGCTACTCTTCCTGGGGTCCGACACTTAAAACAATACAACAATAATACTCAACACAACAACATTCAAGACATAAGTCCTGACATCATTAACAACATCACACACATCATGAACAATCTCATCCACTTTCAACATCAAACTCAGCCAAGGATGAGTGCACAAGACACCCACCAGTACAAAGCATGACATTATATTAAATTAGGGTTCACAGTTCACAAGGGGTACATGGTCATTAGTAGATGGCACTCCAATCTCTTCTTGAAAGAGGCTCTGGACTCTATGTCAGCAAGGTAGTTTGGCAATGAGTTCCATTGTAGCTCTCTAAGTCACAGAAGAGTTCAGAAGATGTGTCCTGGGTTTAGGTGCCAGTAGATGGCCTGATGTAGCTTGTCTCGTCTTATGGTCATGCTCGTCTCTTGTGTAAACTATTTGATCATAATTGGACATTTTCCAATTTTTCATTTCTCAACCAGAAGCCATGATAGATTTCTATGCATAACTCCAATATGAGTGTAATGGCTGCAACACGTAGTATAGATTCAAGATTTAAGGGTTTTATTATCACGTGCACAGCAGCTACAGTGTAGCTATGGCAATGCAAAGCTTAGGTTCCTCCAACAATGCAACATATTATATATACAGGACATAAGACAAAAAAATATATATAATAAAAAACTTGAAATAGTGCAAATGAAACGGAGTACAATCAATTTGAATAAAATAGTGCAGGTGAAAGAAGAGAATGTAAGGTTAAACATTGTACAGAGAAATGCAATTAACTATAACTACTAACATATAGTTAATACCTATGGGTTTTATGAAATGGCACGTTAACTTCTATTTGTTCTTGAAATGACTCATGAAGACGTCATATTCTTCATTATATGATATTTTAAGATTGAGGTACTACAGTTTTACTAACGCTGGTGGTGGCCATCATTTGTATCGGAAAAGTAGGAACATGTGATTCCTAGCAAGATGCCAACCAGGCTTTAAAAAAAAAAAAGTATATTGAAAATGACTGAATGGACAAATGGCCAAAGCTGTAAAAAAACAGATTGTAAAAAAGTGTATTTTATTTCCTTTATAATAAGAAAAAACCCATGTGATCTAAATCATGTTGTGCTTGCTGTTGATATGAGATGACTGATTGATCTTTTCTTTCTTTCAGACATCGGAGAGGCAATGGACAAAATCTCAGGTAGGAAATGTCTAGGACGATGATTGGCCGATTTCCCACTGGTACAGGGAAATGTTTAAAAAAACGTTGTGTTATCTGTTAGAAAAATCTCTTGAGCTTCAATATCAGGATCCATGTATTTATTATCCTCTCAAGAATGGAGGTAGTCAAAACAAAAAAAGAGAATTTGTTGGTATTTTTGTCAAAATCTCAAAATTCTGACTTTTTCAAAATTCTGACTTTTTCTCAAAATCTCAAAATTATGACTTTTTCTCAAAAATCTCAAAATTATGACTTTTTCTCAAAATGTTAATAATCACTGGTCACCGGCTTGAGCTTCAATCTCAGGATCCATGTGTTTGTGATCCTCTCAAGAATGGAAGTAGTCATCACATACAGAGCATCAACTAGTTCCTGAACAGGGGGGGGGGGGGTGCTAGGTGGAGCCTCGCAGTGGCGAAACCGTGCCGCGCCACACTAATTGCGCCAGTCTGCGTGATCGGCCTGTAGGGAGGCACGGCCCTGATCTCACGTATCTACTATAATGCATAGCTGATTGTGTTTTATATATAAAATATGAATCTGCAAGGAATTTAAAAACAAGTATTATCTGATACATGTAATTGAAGCAACACAATGTTTGCCCCTGAGATATAATGCACAGGAAGTAAAGGCTGATCAAATGGAAATATTTAAGTTGTAGGAGTTTACGAGCAGACTTTGAATGCAGCATTAGGGGGGGCGCGTCCTTCTAGGTTGGCATTGAAACATGATACTAATTCTTGCAGCACTTAGTTGCAATCTGCATTTTCACCACTGGATGTCACTAAAGCTGGTCCTTTAAGTCAGTGGTTCCCAACCCTAGAGGTGCTTGAGGGTATTGCAGGGGATAGGAAGAAAGATTAGGGGTGCAATATACAGTATTTCCTCACAACAACAAAAAAATTAAAATCATTCATAAGCTTTTCTTAAGAAGCTGCAAATCAATTTGTATCTTGACGCTGAACTGCAGATCAACAATTGATAAAACTAAACTAATGAATGTTGCTCACTCTAGGATCAAATTCTAAACGTGCCGTACAGTTATTTGACTATTATATGATGCTAATGATTAGCTGGTTTAAAAACCCCAACAAAAAGCAATGTGGGTAGGTGTGTTGAAACGTAGTGTGGTGACTATTGCCACTCAATATCACAGAGGGAATGGCTGAACTGGGTAAACTAGTTGGACGCGTGTGATCTCCATTGCTTTCAATACCATTTATTTTCCAACAAACACGGTCAAAAAACAGTTTGCTCTTCCCAGTCCCAGATCACCCACCTGTACCAGGGACATCAATTATATCCTGTGGCCCCATTACGCCATCTAGTGTTCAAAATATAACAAATAACATATGTTTATGTTTATCTTTAACGGAGGCGTGTGGTGCAGTGGGTTGTGCGTTGGTGCATGTCGTTGTGTCCTTGAGACACTTCACCCCAAATTGCTCCTGTGGGGATTGGCCACAGTATTGAGTATGTAAGTCGCTTTGGATAAAAGCGTCTAACAAGTGACATGTAATGTATGTTTATTTAGGATCCCCGTTAGCTTTTGCTCTTGACAAAAGCTACTCTTCCTGGGGTCCGACACTTAAAACAATACAACAATACTACTCAACACAACAACATTCAAGACATACAGTAAGTCCTGACATCATTAACAACATCACACACATCATGAACAATCTCATCCACTTTCAACATCAAACTCAGCCAAGGATGAGTGCACAAGACACCCACCAGTACAAAGCATGAAATTAAATTAAATTAGGGTTTACAGTTCACAAGGGGTACATGCTCATTAGTAGATGGCACTTCAATCTCTTCTTGAAAGAGGCTCTGGACTCTATGTCAGCAAGGTAGTTTGGCAATGAGTTCCATTGTAGCTCTCTAATACCCCTTTCACACCGGCGCTTTTCCAGCTCCTGCTAGGAGCTAGAGCCTGAAAAGCGCCGGTTTTTTCCTGTTCACAACCGCAGCGGCGGCGCGTCATAGCTCCGGAATGCGGTTCACTTCCAGCTCCAAAAAATTGGCGGTCCAGAGGCAAGAGCTTCGGAGCTATGACGCGGCGTCGCTTACGTCTCTTACGTCGAGGCGTGCAGGAAACCTTACTTTGACCATCCGTTCGCTGTTATTGATCATTGTGGAGATACATTGGCTATACAGGTTGTCATGTCCGACTATCAGAAGTAGAATCATAATGAGAAATACGCCGGTAAAATGTGCCTATAGGAAACGGCTTAGCAAGTAGTCAGTTTAGCTTCGGTTGCTATGCTAACATCACCCATGTTATACCAGAGAAACTTTCATAACAGCGTTGTGATGCCAAACAGCGTCAATTCAGACTGACACACATTCACTTAAGGGGAACTGGGGATATGTATCAGCTGCTTGTGTGACAGTCAGACAGTGAATATTTTAGAGCCGTGTGAGCTAACCCGGAGCTAACGGGAAAATAAACTCCCGTGGAAGAGCAGCCAGCACTGCAGCGGTCGGTAAATGCCGCTGAAACACATTAATAAACAATGAACCACGGCACTCTGGAGAAAAGTATAAGGTTGGAGAAGTCGTTATTTAATTTAATCTGGCTTCGTATGATTAAAAGCAACACGATCATCGACCCGATGCAGTCCCCGGCCCGTTGTTGTTGTGGGAGAAAATCAGCGACGTAAACTGTGACGTCATGACGCAGCAGCGGCAGCTCTGGGCAGTGTGAAGAGAGCGGGAGCTGAAAAGGGAAACGGGAGCTGAACCAGAAAAGCTCTCGCGAGGAGCTAGAAAGTGAAAAGCGCCGGTGTGAAAGCCGCATAAGTCACAGAAGAGTTCAGAAGATGTGTCCTGGGTGTAGGTGCCAGTAGATGGCCTGATGTAGCTTGTCTAGTCTTATGGTCATGCTCGTCTCTTGTGTAAAATATTTGATCATAAAAATACAGTCTTTTTTTGCCAAATTGGACATTTCTGAGAAAAGTGATAACACCAGATTGCAGACGTTTCTCAACCAGAAGCCATGATAGATTTCTATGCATAACTCCAATATGAGTGTAATGGCTGCAACACGTAGTATAGATTCAAGATTCAAGGGTTTTATTATCACATGCACAGCAGCTACAGTGTAGTTATGGCAATGCAAATCTTAGGTTCCTCCAACAATGCAACATATTATATATACAGGACATAAGACAAAAAAATATATATAATAAAAAACTTGAAATAGTGCAAATGAAACAGAGTACAATCAATTTTAATAAAATAGTGCAGGTGAAAGAAGAGAATGTAAGGTTAAACATTGTACAGAGAAATGCAATTAACTGTAACTACTAACATATAGTTAATACCTATGGGTTTTATGAAATGGCACGTTAACTTCTATTTGTTCTTGAAATGACTCATGAAGACGTCATATTCTTCATTATATGATATTTTAAGATTGAGGTACTACAGTTTTACTTACGCTGGTGGTGGCCATCATTTGTATCGGAAAAGTAGGAACATGTGATTCCTAGCAAGATGCCAACCAGGCTTTAAAAAAAAAAAAAGTATATTGAAAATGACTGAATGGACAAATGGCCAAAGCTGTAAACAAACAGATTGTAAAAAAGTGTATTTTATTTCCTTTGTAATAAGAAAAAACCCATGTGATCTAAATCATGTTGTGCTTGCTGTTGATATGAGATGATCATGCGGCTTTCACACCGGCGCTTTTCACTTTCTAGCTCCTCGCGAGAGCTTTTCTGGTTCAGCTCCCGTTTCCCTTTTCAGCTCCCGCTCTGTTCACACCGCTCACCAATATGGTCTAGCTGCGGCCGCGGCCAGTACACGACACTACACGACACGCCCACTACACGACACGCCCACCTGACACGACACTACGGTGGCTGAGAGACATTACCGTACATGGCAGATTAAAAGCGAATTGCAAATGTTATTGTAGCATTTTAAGCAACTATTAGGCAAATAAATGAATAACCTAGTCTATCCGTTTGAGACACAACAGTATAACTTTCAACCCAAATCATTTTGTCAACAAACGGTGGTTTAGTAAACTTTTTTTTAATATATAAAATAGGTATTAATGAGATAATCTATTGATTATGTTTGTCTAACTGCTACACATGTATTTTATACATAAATGTAGATATTTGTGAACATCTAAATATAGTTGTTAAAGGTTTTAAGATATACATAATCACATCATGGGGTCATTAAGGAACAAATTAGGAGGGCCAGTCAGGCCACTAATGAGCTTATTATTACATGTATTATTATTACTTTATAAATTAAAAGTACTAGGGGTCTATTACAAAACCTTTGAAGGAATCGCATCAATTAAAATAAATGTATGGCAAGTATGATCAAATTAACATAATGTCAAGATATAGCCAATAGACAATCAACATGCTTTGAATATAAAGGAAGAAGAACAATAAACAGATGAACATTTAGGTTTTATGTGTAAATTGTGAACAAACCATCTTAATACATCTGGCAGTCTAAGACAGCAAACTAAGCTTCTTTAACTGCTGCTAGAACACAGTTTTACCATGGGGTATTTCTAACAAGACCAAAAAGATATACAAGGCTTCCAAAACAGAAGAAACCAACTCAATACAGTATTTTAATTTCCTTCAAAACGACAAAAGCACTAATAAAAACCAAATAACAATAACATAAAGGAAAAGTAATTGAAGTGGTTTGCCTGTTGTAAATACCTTGGTATCTGGCTTGATGATTGTCTCTTCTCTTGCATTCGGTCATACCCCCCTTCCCATACTATTATCGGTTAAAATTGGCCGGTGTCTTTTGCACAGTGATATTTCTGGAACCCCTTATCCCATTTTGATGGTTGACATCTCATTTGAACAGTCAAAGCCAGAATGACAGCAGGGGTGAATTTCATTTTATAATTTTGCAATAAGTCAAAGATATGTTTTCTGTATATTATAAAAATACTTGTCATGTAGGCATACTGGAGATGGGAAGGCTTTAGTCAGTGTCGTAGCTGAGATTCTTACCGTTCCAATGATGTATTAATAATAACTTGGATTTATATAGCGCCTTTCATGAGACCCAAGGTCGCTTTAAAAAGAACAGGAGTAGAAACAAACATAACAAAAGGCAGTCAGACGAACAGTTACTTCTTACCCTGTCTCTGTCCCTGGCCGTCCATGTTTTGGCGCAGTTCCACTACAGCGCGGAGCTCGCTTTAAGCGTGCCGTGTCGTGCCGTGCCCGTTTTTGGTTGCGCTTCCACTAGGCCTAGTTCCGGCCCGGCCCGGCCCGGGCCACTTTTTCACGTCTTTTCTGGCCCGAGAAAATTGTGGTTCTATCGAGGCCAACAAACAGGGCTGAGTCGGGCTGAGTCGGGCTGAGTATGCTAAACTAGAGAGAGGAGCGCTGGCAAGGGGCTACAACTACAACAAGATGGACATATTTGACCGTGATTTAATTGTAATACACGTTTCAAAATGATGCCGAAGTAACAACATACTGATACCGGTTAGTAAAAACCATGAATTAATGCTTTGTCAAGTCTGCAGACAGACGGCAGGCGAAAAACCTTTTAAAATGGGTGTTTTTCTAGATGGAGATTGGCTAAGCTAACGCAGTATATGCTCCGACCGTCCACACTCACAACAACGGCCTATACAGACATACATAAAGCAGCGACTGTATTCACCATGACACAGGCAGTCTGTGGTGTGTACTTGTTTAACTTTTGTCTAGTTTCTGAACATATATAAGGAGCTGTGAGCTCTGAGTGCTAACAGCTAACGGCTGTGTTGTGTTTCTGGAGTTCTCATTGAAGATGACGTCACGGCTCCGCCTACACTGCGTTACTATTGTAACTACCCCAGTTCCTAAACTGTAATGGAAGCGCAGCATGAAGTGAGTCGGCCCTGTTAAGGCCAAGCCGTACCGAGCCGTACCGAGCGTGGCCGAGGCCGACCGTGTAGTGGAAATGTGCCATTAGACAGACAAAACAAATAGATTTGGGGCCAAAGACCTTGGCAGACTTGAGGGCCCTTTTGAAGGCGGCAAGCGTGGGGATGTTGCAGATCTCCGCAGGGAGAGCGTCCCAGAGAGTGGGGGCTGCCATACTGAAGGCTCTGTCCCCGAAGGATCGCAGGTTGGTGCGGGGGGCCAGAGTCTGAAGACCGCAGGTTCCGGGGTAGGGCATGTGGGAATTGTATTGATTTAATACAAGCAAGCCAGTGTTTTCATTGTGTACTTTCAACTACAGTATATGGTCCGGCAAGTTCAGCATTCACTGTGATGAATATACAATAAGACACTGATACCGTTTTCCTCAATGAACATTTATTGAACAGAACATCATGTGAAAAATGTTCCTTTTTAGTTGTAGGCTACAAAAATAACATGTTGTGGTTTTGCGCTTTGACATCAAAATGTTGGGGGCTGTGGAAATATTGTGCCATGTTGCTGCAGCAGCCGGAGCCATCACTGGAGCGGGCCGTCGGAGCCATCACTGGAGCGGCCGTCGGAGCCATCACTGGAGCGGCCGTCTGGGCCATCACTGGAGGCGGTCGTCGGGGGCCATCACTGGAGGAGTCGTCGGGGCCATCACTGGAGTAGTCGTTGTGGTTGCTGGGGCCCGCCGCCAACGTAGTTGGATGTTCAGTGCAGCAGTTTTTAAAGTGACTAATAAACATCTCCTTTCTCCCAATGATTCTTGGGCAAAAGCCACAGTGATAATGGCTGCTGGCCACACATTTGAGATGGCATTTATAAACATTATAACCTAAAAAGAGACAGAAAGTGGTTTAGAGGATTCTAGAAACAAACCAACATGAATTTCTTGTAAATATGCAATTTGAAAACAAGGTGTTTGTGCGAGAGCAATAAATAATCATGTCACCAACAATAATATTTTTGCCTATAAACTGAATTTTTGCAGATTGAATGTGTGATTATGCTTATATTGTGCCTACCCCCAAATAAGGATACTTTTCCAGCATTATTAACACTTCATAACCTGAATATAAATCAAATTTTTAATGTTCAATTATAATTCAAAATTAATTTACACCAAGGATGTCCTGGGGCACAGAAATAACACATTTATCCATAATGTGTGAGGCATTAAACACATCTAACAAGTAACATGTAATGTAATGTGATGAAGTATACAATGATCATATAGGATTATAGATGTACTTACCTCCATATTTCACAAGTGCCCTCTGGTGGCTCTGCAAATGAGCCATCAGACCAGGGTATGACCCGGTCCTTTCACAAAATGGACACTGGAAGGTGTCCGAGTCCAATTTGTTGAGCTCTGGGCGTGCTCCATCACGGAGTGTTGTGTTGTTTGTCTATAGGTGAATAAAATAGAATACAATTTCAGTGACTTTAATATTGGAAATAGTTAACTTCTTAAACAAGCAGCAATGGACTGGCCTGTATAATCCTATGGGACAAAGCTGGTCATACTTCCTCACTTTCAGAAGGTAACCCTTTAACTGCCAGCGCCACCATTTGGTAGAGCACATTTTGTGTCTTGATATCTTGTTGGAAAAAAAAAAAGTTTAACTCCATCTGATTCAGCCAGCTCTACCCTTTTGGTTGACATGTTATGCACAAAACAACCTCTAGATGTCACTGTGGTTCGAACAGAAAGCCCTTCAGCTAGTTTAAATCTTTATATATACAGTCTATGGTTTAAATGTCAGGCCTACAGCATGGCCACAAACCCCATCTAAAAACAGAGGCCTGATTGCATCCACCTGGGTTACTTGGCTCTACCCAATAACTATATATCATTTAACTTTAAACCACACTTAAAATAATAATATAATTATACATATGTGCATGTCAGTATAGCAGCTAATACATGTTTGTTTTTTTTTAAACATTTCAAATGTGAAAGACACCTTCAATGAATATTTAAAACGTACACAAAATCAGATTCTTGTAAAAATGCGAGTACATGCATTGTTCCATCTGTCAAGCTAAAATATATACATATATCTTAGCTCTTAGCTTGACATGCTAACTGAACGACGTTCAGTTAGCATATATGCTAACTGAACATCGAGCATGTCAAGCTAAGAGCTAAGATATATATATATATATATGTATTCCATTTAGGGCTGTCAAGTTAACGCGTTAATAACGCGTTAACGCAAAAAAAAATTAACGCCACTAATTATTTTAACGCGATTAACGCATGTGTATTTTTTGTCCTCGACCGCCCCGTAGTTTCAGAGCGCATCGAGTTTAAAATACCATCTACAAGCTGATGCTGACAGCCCCGCTCCTGCCACATTTCCACGCTCACCGGCAGGCCCGGACTGGCCATCGGGAGGACCGGGACGGTGTGTGTATGTGTGGCGCGACTCGCGCGAGCGAGGCACACCTTACGTGTTGTTGTTGTTAGCATCTGGTGCTAGCTAGCTGCGCTAACGGATATAAGGAGCTGTTTCAATGACATTTCGCCGACAACTGCGCCGAGCACTTGACTTTATGCAGGTAGCCAGACAGTGGGACATTGTACGAAAAGTCAGCACACTCAACATGCAACATGATTGCAGCTCCCGTTCAAGCATATATGCCTTGAGCTGCACATAGCTCCAACGATCCATCACAGTGTGTCTCTCTCCACACACACACACACACACACACACACACACACACACACACACACACACACACACACACACACCACACACACACACACACACACACACACACCACACACACACACACACACACACACCACACACACACACACACACACACACACACACACACACACACACACACACACACACACACACTGTATTATTGTATGAGAGAGGTTCCAGGTTGAATTGAGGCGAATATTTGTAATGTTCAGAGGTTGTTGTGTTTAATATTCATGAGAATATTTGTCATTGTTCAAATGATAATAAACAAACATATAAAGCATATTTGTCCACTCATATCTTGATAAGAGTATTCAAAACTTGAAAAATATCCCTCTAAGGTACAGATAAAAAATGTGCGATTAATTTGCGATTAATCGCGATTAACTATGGACAATCATGCGATTAATCGCGATTAAATATTTTAATCGACTGACAGCCCTAATTCCATTCCTTTACATTTAATATTTAAAATACAAATTAGCAAAATAAACACAATTACACTGCGCCTGTACTCGGTGCGCCATATTGTTTGTCTGTTCTCTGTAAACCTCATGTCTCCTTAAATATCCTTGCGTCAGCGTCAGTGTCGTCAATTCGCTTTTAATCTGCCACGTACGGTAATGTCTCTCAGCCACCGTAGTGTCGTGTCAGGTGGGCGTGTCGTGTAGTGGGCGTGTCGTGTAGTGTCGTGTACTGGCCGCGGCCGCAGCTAGACCCTTCTCCCGCTCACACCGCTCAAGAGCCGGGATGGTACTGCGTCATTGCCTCATCGTTTGCGTCATGACGTAACCGTTTACGTGCCTGCTTCCTAAAACCCAAACCGCGCGGAAATCACAACAACAATGGCCGATTGTATGAAGCGCTGTTCGCTGTGGTTATCCTCTTACGAGACGAAATGGAAGGCATCGGACGACTTTTCAAGGGACGACTTTACTTGGAACTTTACAAACATCACATGCGAAATACAAGACTTCTTTGTGGTCTTCAGGGTCTACTTCAACAACGATTCCGTAGGAAACGGGAGGTAAATATACATCCTATTCGATGACAAGAAGACAAGAAGAAGAAGGAGCTGACGTTAGATCTGCATTGATGGAGTATTTCAACATGGGGGACCACTAATATTACTGCAGTTAAAACCTGATCTATTTTGTATCATGCCTCTTACAATAAAATCACTGGATCAGACTTGAATTGTGTTTTCTTTTGTATACAAATCACAGAATGTAAACAGATAAACAGGTATGAACAATATTCTTATAAAATAGTGCATACCCAAAAGGTTTAGACCAGAGGCCTGTACTACGAAGCTGGTTCAATTTAACCTGGATATGTTGGAGTTAGCCGGTTGGCGTAATCCAAAACATACGCGCTGGCGCTAAACTGTACTACGACGCTGGATATCAAGTGGATCGCTCAAGCCGCCGTGTCCTATCTAGTTAGGTGCGCGTTCACATGAAAAGGGGTGGTATTTGGAGCATTCGACCAATCTCAAACACGGAGAAGCGTACTGACAGCGATACTTCCTGAATGAAAAGTGAACTTTAATATTAGTCAAATATGAGGACATTAAACTTTAAACATCCATGACTTAAACACTTTACCCAGGATAAAAAAGCCACATAGCTGCACCTGCAAGGTGAATACAGCTGGTAAAAGAAAAAGTGTTTGAATGCGTACATTAACAGGTTTATGAAATCACTGCCCCGTCCAAGACACGAGTGGATCTGACTTTAATTAGGAGAATTTGACTCGAGTGTTTCGTCAATTTAATGTGTTGCTTAAAATAATACTTCTGCATACAGTATGTGACACTGTGAGTGTTGCACGGCCAGATACGGCTCAAGAAGCTGACTCAAATAAGGAAATATATGATACATTATGATGTGATATGATATGAATGATAATGGGACACATCTACGTCTGCACTCACAGTGCCGCGGACTGTACTTAATGTTACTCTGATCCGGTTACTTATGTCGTGGCAGATATTTAAGTAAGCTTTCTTAACGCTAATGTTATAATAGTCAGATTGCTCTGAAGATGGGAGGGGATATTCTATTAATTTTCACGTTCACACAGTCAGTTGATTTTGGCCGGTCGTCTTTCCTGCAACGGCAGTTAAACTGTATTTCCTTCTCCTCCTGTCATATGAATTGATCGCTTTAAACTCCGCACACGGAGCTCTGATTGGTCAGCAGGCAGTGCTTTCACTGAGTTGATCTCTTAGCCTTCCACCTAACCTGCTCCGGAGCAGGTTGCCGCTCAGCATAAGTTACCATGGAAATCTAGCCTGCTAAAAAGAGAACCAAGCGTCGTAGGACCGGAAAGCCCGAGATTTTCCTGAATTTAGCTGGCTAAGCGAAAATCCAGCTTCGTAGTACAGGCCTCTGGGGTCTCCAACCTTTCTTCACCTGAGAGCTACATTTATTGACATAGTAGTCATAGGTTGAATTAAGCTACTTTTGTAAACATGTGAAATTGCAATCCCCAAAGCTTATCAAAAATCAATACTTCTCATTAAGGTCAAAGACAACGACAATTTCTCACATTATTATGGCCCACATACAGTAAGTACATCACTGAAAATTCACATAAATGTCCAAGAGAAAAATAAAATGTTATAAGACTTGACTTATGTTTATTTTACATACAAATCAAAGAATGTATGAACAATATTCTTATAAAAATAGTGCATACCCAAAAGGTTAGACCAGGGGTCTCCAACCTTTCTTCACCTGAGAGCTACATTTATTAAGCTACTTTTGTAAACGTGTGAAATTGCAATACCCAAAGCGTATCAAAATAAAAATAAAATGTGTGTGAGTGTGTGCAGTCACCTGAGCTGCTGTGCAGATACAGCTGTGCTCAACATTCATCAGGGATTGGTCGCTCTCTCTTTGGATGTGTTATGAACAATTTAGTGCTAACCTCAGCTTTATGTCATTACATTTGTGCTGGGTAAGGGCACAGTACATTTGAGTTTGTTTCCTTCACTTAGATTTATGTCGTATTTTATATCCTAACTTCTTTCTAAAGAGAAATAGGAATAAAATAAATGGTGTGCCTTGCTCCAGCTTGACAATGACACATTTATTTTAGATAACACAGGTAACGATTCCATTTAGCATCATTTTGTTTAAAGAATGCATGGCAGAATCAGACTTAGCATACAAGTAGTCAT